ACCCTAAACCCTAAGCCCCAAACTCAACAGCATCTCAGAGGTCCCAGACGCAGCTGGCTGCAAAGGTGCGGAATGTGTGTCGCATACGAAGTGGCTAAACCCTAAACGCTCAACCCTAAACCCGAAGCCCGAAACCCGAAACCCTAAACCCTAAACCCTAAACCCTAAACCCTAAACCCTAAACCCTGACCCTTTTTTGCTCCTATTTGCCGGGGAATGGGGTGATCTCATAGGGTTGCAAATGTCTCGGGCTTTTGCTGAGGAGATTCGATGAGCAACCCTAAGCCACCACTCCGGCTTCGTCAACGGTAGGGTTCAGGGCTTTGGAGGGGTGGCCATGGTTTTCACCTTACTTAGGGTGCTTCTTACCCTGCTTAGAAGTACCCATGAACCTCCAAGTAGGTTTTACAACGTTGTCGTAGCTTGTAAAGGTGACGGTTGACAGGGACAGCTGCTTTTTGCTCTAGCCCCCCTTCATTTGCAAGGTGCAACGCCTTTTCGCCAAAACGGTCTGAGAACGGGGTCCTGGCTACCATTCAAATCCTGCCCCTCTGTGCCTTCCTTAGGCTACAACCCAAAGCCAACAGCCTCCTGAGCCCAAACATAGGGGTCGGAATAATTGGTAACAGTGTTCCCTTATGGTCCCTTTTATAAATAAATAAATATATAGATATATACAAATATATATACTATAACCAGCCCCCAAAATCCTATTCTAATGATTAAGGCCCCTACGCCTCAAGGGACGTAGGGATAGTCGGCTGGAAGTGACCACGCCCGGAGGCCCAGAGCTCACCAGCTGACCTCTTTGCCCACCCCAGGCGGGATTTTCGCTACACCCGAAACCCTAAACCCTAAACCCTAACCCCTAAGCCCCTTGAGTGGGTTAGGGATGGCCTTGTTCCCTGTCTACCTCTAGGGTGTTAGGCTCCCTTCAGAAACCCCATTGTGCAAGAAAGGTGGTGCTCATTTCACGGGTCCGACACAGGGTAACCTCGATCCTGACTTCCGCCAAAAGTTTTTGCGGTTTAGGGTTGAGGGTTTGAGTTGGCGTTGGGTTTTAGGTCGGCTTTTGAGATATTCTGTGTCTTCCCTGATTGGGGTTTAAGAGGATTATGCTTAGGAATATGCCGGTTTTCAGGCCCATGCGGCTGTCTTGAAGGTGTGTTGATTAGACGCGAATTCAGGTTTTTACGTGTGAACATAGGGTCGGAATAATTACGAATAGTATTCCCTTATGGTCCCTCTATAGATATGCGATTAACCCCCCAAACCCTGTTCCAATTATTAAGGCCGCTATATTGGGTCTTTCGGCTTTTCTCGTTGTTTTTGCTTAGGCTTGGCGATTACTTGCACATGGATGCAGCACGTGAGCCGGTTCCACACTTTAGGGCTGCGTTGGTGTGTTGGAGGGCGAGACGATGCTGACAAAGCGCAGGTTAGAGCGAGCATCGAAGTGTTGATAACCCCTAAACCCTGAAACCCTTAAACCCCATCTCCTCTAAAGCCCCTAAACCCCCTAAACCCCCTTAAGCATGAAACCCTTAACCCTAAACCCTAACCCCTAAACCCTACACCCTACCCCCTAACCCCTAACCCCTAACCCCTAAACCCTAAACCCTAACCCCTCCACCCACAACTGCAAGGGACCCGTTTTTCAGGCCTGAGGTCAGCTTCGTGCCATGCGGTTCCCGGAGTCCTTGCACCCCTAAACCCTAAACCCGAAACCCTAAACCCTAAACCCTAAACCCTAAACCCTAAACCCTAAACCCTAAACCCTAAACCCTGGCTCCAGGAGTCCGCCGCCGACCTCCATATACGGCAAGATCTACGTGGGTGTTCCCCCACAGGCTGCATGCCCTGACTCTTGAGGGGGCTGAGGATTTTAGAGGAGGCCCTGAAGCCTAAACCCTAAACCCTAAACCCTAAACCCTAAACCCTAAACCCTAAACCCTAAACCCTAAACCCTAAACCCTAAACCCTAAACCCTAAACCCTAGACGGGCTTAGAGTTTAGGTCTTTGGTTTCATGTCGCTGAAGAGCGAGTCGGACGGAACCTGCCCAAGGCCACAAGTTATGGCATGGGTTGAGTGTTTACAGGGTTTAAAGGGTTTTTTGGGGTTTTTAGGGTTTTACAGGGTTTGGGGTGCAGGGTTTACAGCATATTTTTGTTTAGGGTTTCTAGCTTTTTTGTGTTTATAGGGTTTACAGGGCTCTTTAGGGTTTATAGGTTTTTTTAGGGTATATAGGATTGATAGGGTTTCTAGGCTGTACATGGTTTGTAGGGTTCTAGGGTTTGGGGGGTTTTCGGTATTCCGTTGTCAAGCCTCAATCTGTGACGGCAGGAGTTCTTGGTAGTCTTTGACACCAGCAGCGGCAATGTTATCCTCCCGGCGAGGACTGTTGATATGAGAATCCTGGCAACATGGGCTAGGGGCTTAGGGTATAGTTTAGGTTCTAGGGTTTAGGGTCTAACCAGGGTTTGGGGCTTAGGGCTTAG